AATGACATCAACTGTAATAACAGCACTATAATGACAGCACTATAATAACAGCACTATAATAACAGCACTATAATAACAGCATTATAATGACATCACTGTAATAACAGTAATGACAGCACTATAATAACAGCACTATAATAACAGCACTATAATAACAGCGCTATAATGACAGTGCTATAATAACAGCACTGTAATAACAGCACTATAATAAAGTTACACACACTACAGCCAATTTAGTTAATCAATTCCCCTATAGCGCATGTGTTTAGACTGTGGGGGAAACCGGAGCACCCGGAGGAAACCCACGTCAACACGGGGAGAACATGCAAACCCAACACAAAAAAGCCAACTGACACAGCCGGGAGTCCAACCAGTGACCTTGTTGACCCATGGTGTCACCGTAACCAATAATTATACGTCTTAAAATATTGTTTTTTTTTAAACAAACTATAAACACAGCACAAATATAAATACCCTGAAAGCAATGTAATTCATTTCACACAGTACAAAATGCCAAACACACACTTCATTTACATCATTTAATCCACCTTTTCAGTCTCTGGCCAACAAGTGTTTCATCAACTGGCTAAAGTCCACAATAAGTCCATTATTTTGCACTTGGCAGGTTTTCATTTACATTTCTGCATCTGGCACTCAGAGCATCTTTAAGAGCAGGTGTGATTATAATTAAACACATCAGCCTTTTATTGCTTATGCAATTTTATTTTAACTGAACTACAGGCACACGAAACCCTCAATTACTGTTCACATCGGCTGACACTGAGAACAGAACGTCCAGTCGCACTGATCTCAACAGCAAAAAAGAGGAAGCAGAGCCAAAATGGAGTCTGCAACAACCAGAATCAGAATGAGCTTGGTTGGCTAAGCAACACGGGGTACAAACATGTTTCCTGTACGAATTAGCATGTTGTTAGCATGTTTTCCAGTATGAATTAGCATGTAAGCATGTTTCCAATACGAATTAACATGTTGCTTCCATGTTTCCAACATGGATTAGCATATTAATATCTTGTTTCTAACATTAATTAGCATTTTTTGATAGCGTGCTTCTAGTATGGATTAGCATGTTACCATGTTCCCAATATGAATTAGCATGTTGGTGGCATGTTTCCAGTATAAATTAGCATGTTTATAGTATGTTTATTTTGTAACAGCATGTTCTTCTAACATTTTCCTTGTATGGATTAGCATGTATTTAGCAAATTTCTAGTATGAATTAACATGCTGCTACTATGTTTCCAGTATGGATTAGCATGTTGCTACCATGTTTCCAGTTTGAATTAGCTTTTTGTTAGCATGTTTTCTAGTATGGATTAGCATGTTAACATGTTCCCAATATGAATTAGCATGGTGTTAGGATGTTTCCAGTATAAATTAGCACATTGTTAACATGTTTCCAGTATTAATTAGCATGTTTAAAGCATGTTTTTATGTGAATTAGCATGTTACTGTAATGGATTAGCATCTTAGTTAGCATCTTTCTAGTATGAATTATGTTGCTACCCTGTTTCCAGTATGGATTAGCATGTTGCTACCATGTTTCCACAATGGATTAGCATGTTGCTTCCATGTTTGTACTATAAATAACATGTTAATATTATGTTTCTAACATTAATTACTATGTTTTGATAGCATGTTCTTAATATGGTTAAGCATGTTATTAGCAGGTTTCTGGTATGACTTAGCATGTTGCTATCATGTTTCCCAGATTTAATTAGCATGTTTTAGGGTTATGTTAGTATAAATTACCATTTTGTTACCATGAACTAGCACTATGCTATCATATTTCCAGTATGAATTAGCATGTCTTTTATCATGTTTCCAGTATGAAATAACATCTTGCTAGGATGACTCTAGTATGGGTTAGCATGTTGTTAGCACATTTCTCGTATGAATTAGCATGTTGATAGCATGAATTGGCATTTTGTTAAGATGTTAATATGAATTAGCATTTTATTAGTATGAATTAACATGTTGCTATCATGTCTCCAGTATAAATGAACATATTGCTTGCATGTTCCCAGTATAAATTAGCATGTTACTAACATGTTTCTAGTATAGATTAGCATGTCGTTAACATATTTCCAGTACAAATTAGCATGTTGCTACCATGTTTGTAGCATGGATTAGCATAATGTAAGCATGTTCCTAGTATAGATTAGCATGTTGTTTCCATGTTTCCAGTATGAATTATCATGATGCTACCATATTTGTAATATGGATTAGCATGTTGCAAGCATTCCACGTTTTTTTTCTCTGAATAAGCATGTTCAACTAGCATGTTTCTAAAATGGATTAGCATGTTGTCAGTATATTTCCAGTATGAATTAGCATGTTTTAAAAATGTTTCCAGTATGAATTATCATGTTACCACCGTGTTTGTAGTACGGATTAGCTTGCTGCTAGCTTGTTCCTAAAATAGATTAGCATGTTGTTAACATGTTTTCAGTATGAATTAACATGTTGTTAACATGTTTCCTGTAGGAATTAGATGTTACAAGCATGTTTTAGCACAGATTAGCTTGTTGTTAACATGTTGTTAGTATAAATTAACATGTTGCTATCATGAATTTTCATGTTATTAGCATGTTTTCAGCATGATGTTACCATGTTTATATCATGAATTAGCATGTTGCTAGAATGTTCCCAGTATGAATTAGCATATTGTTAACATGTTTCCAGAATGAATTATCATGCTGCTACAGTGTTTATAGTATAAATGATCAAGTTGCTACCATGTTTGTAGAATGGATTAGCATATTGGAAGCATGTTTCTACCATTGATTAGCATGTTGTTAACATGTTTCCAGTATGAATTACCATGTTGTTAGCATGTTTGAAACAGGAATAAGCATGTTGCTATCATGTTTCCAATATGAATTTGCATGTTGCTACCATGTGCCTAGTATAAATTAGCAGGTTGTTAGTATTTTTCCAGTATGAATAAACATGCTGCTAGCATATTTCTAGAGTGGATTAGCATGTTTTGCTAGCATGTTCCTAGTATGGATTAGAAAGATATTATGTCGTTAGCATGTTTCCAGTATGAATTAACATGCTTCTAACATGTTTTTTTCATATGGATTAGCAAAGTTGTTGTCATGTTTCTAGCATGATGCTAGTATGAATTAACATGTTTTAGATAAAGATTAGCATGTTGATAAATGTAAATTGGTTGATGTCAAGATAGCAATGACATTCCATAGAGTGGTAATTATGAAAAATATAAATACATACAATTTTAAATGTAAAACATTATTATGATTGTTGTTGTTATATTAGTAGCAGTACCCAGATCAGTATGTGTCATTAGTTTAATCAGTACTTAAATGCAAATAACACACATTGGGGATGTCATGATTGACCAATCAGAATCAAGTATTCCAGAGAGCCGTGTAATAAACACTGCAAACACACGACTTCACCTTTGGAAATGTGGAAATCAATCATGGATGACAGCTTGTTTAGATTATCAGGAGGAGGGAAGAGCTACAATTTCAATTACGGAGTAAACAGAAGCTGCGCAGCGATACGCTTAACCTCCAAACGCCGGTTCATATTCCTGATGAGATGTGAATCTGCGAGAGACGTCAATAATGATGATGATAATCGCACTTCACTAACAGCAGTTTATGAGGCATCTCAGCATTTACAGTCAGCAACACACTCGAGCAGATGTACTGTACAAACACACGCTGAAGCTCTATTAGCAACTGCTGGTGCTTTATATAATGCAAAGAGTTTCAAAGCAGCTTAACGGTAATGAATGGAAAACAAACCGTTTTAATAGTGCAAAATGTATATGCTCACTTGAGGGGACAGTTCCCACGCAAAAGAAAATCTTCTCAGCATTTAGTCACATATAAGTACTTCTAAATTGTATTAATTCTTGATTCTGAAGGTACATGACATGCATAGTACATGAAAAAAAAGTACATGACATGCATAGTACAAAAAATATTGAAATTTATTGGCTGATTTAAAAAAAAAAAATCTTTAGGATTTCTTCTGTCGTGTTCAACAGAAGAAAAAACGAACCACCAGAGTAAGTAACCACTTTGAGCAACATGGTTTTTCCATTTCTATAGCATTAAAGAGTGTTAAGCCTTTTTTATGACTGATGTAAGAGTTAAAGATAACAGAGTTGACGATAATAGAGGTCACAGTAATGAAGTTGACGAAAACAAAGTTGACGATAACAGAGTTAACAAAAATAGAGTTGACGATAACGGAGTTCACAGTAACAGATTTTATGATAACAGAGTTGATGATAACGGTTGACGGTAAGAGAGTTTACAATAACGGAGATGATAATAACAGAGTTGACAGTAACAGAGATAACAACAGAGGTGAAGATAACAGGGTGACGAAAAAAGAGTTGACGGTAACAGAGTTGAGGATAACAGAGTCGACTATAACAGAGTTGACAGTAACAGAGATAACAACAGAGGTGACGATAACAGAGGTTACGGTAACAAAGTTGACGGTAACAGAGTCGACAGTAACAGAGTTGACGATAACAGGGTTGACGAAAACAGTTGACGGTAACATAGTTGACTGTAACAGAGTCGACGATAACGGAGTTGACAGTAACATAGTTGACTGCAACAGAGTCGACGGTAACAGAGTCGAGGGTAACAAAGTTGACTGTAACAGAGTCGACGGTAACAGAGTCGAGGGTAACAAAGTTGACTGTAACAGAGTCGACGGTAACAGAGTTGACAGTAACATAGTTGACTGCAACAGAGTCGACGGTAACAGAGTCGAGGGTAACAAAGTTGACTGTAACAGAGTCGACGGTAACAGAGTCGAGGGTAACAGAGTTGACGAAAACAGAGTTGACAGTAACATAGTTGACTTTAACACAGTCGACGGTAACAGAGTTAACAGTAACATAGTTGACGATATAATAACAGAGTTGGTGGTAAAAATTAATAACAACAAAGTTGAACATAATAAAGTTGACGATAGAAGAGTTGACAATAACAGACGATAACAAAGTTGGCCGTAACAGAGTTGACAGTAACAGAGTAGGCGGTAAGAGTTGATGATAAAAGAATTGAAGATAAAAAAGTTGACAGTAAAAGAGTTTAAGATAACACAGTTGCAGATAACAGAGTTGAGAACAACAGAGTTGAAGATAATAGAGCTGACGATAGCAGAGTCGACAATAAAAGTAAACAATAATAGAGTTGATAACAGAGTTGGTGGTAAGAGTTGAGGATAATAAAGTTGATGATAGGAGAGTCGACAATAACAGACGATAACAAAGTTGTTGGTAACAGAGTCCGACACATAATTAATCTATTATTGGTGATTCCTGAACATTTTGCACAAATTAATGAGAGCAGAATAATGAAATGCTTCAATGTCTTCTAGAGTTTCCCGCCGCAGGAAGTGACATCACTACCAGCAAGTTACATGACTTTCAACCATTTGTTCTGCCTTTTTATAACTGACGTAACAGAGTTGAGCAGATCGCAAAGATACACTCTAAATGTGTTTTCTATAACTGAAATGGCAAATAATACAGAAAACGAGAGTTGGCTGCAAATATTAGTCGCAGAAACACATAAAAACATGAATGTGCGATTTAGGAGGCTTTTTAGAAAAGTGTCAAAAATAGCTTTAAACATTACTTTACTTTTAGAGATAACTTGATTTATTTGTTTTATTATTTGTATTTTATCATAATAGGAGGTTTATCTTGCATTCACACACTTCTAGAATCCCCCACACATCGTCAAATCCTTTCTCCCATGTAACCTTTAAACATTGCTTGATTTTAAAGCATTTCTGTCTCCAGCCATGCAATAAAGACATTTTTTTGGTTAAGGAAACTCTATGATTTATAATATAGGGAGAGGAAGTGCACTCAATATCAGGCCAGCCAGCCAAAGGCACCTTGGGGAATTTTATGATCCATGACGAGACACATTGGATCATTTCAGTATGCAAGTGTCGCTGCATATTAATAATGGCCTGAGTCCAATGCAGACGCAGCACAGCTTCACAGGAAGAGCATATCATCTGCTTCCTGCAGGAGTTTACACACATAGAGCTTCACGCTTCACAGAAACATATTCGCCGCTCTAAGATTTATTTAGGAGCGACAGAAAACACACAGGACAGATTTATGATATTTACACATGCATGAAAACCACCCAGAGATTGAGCAACACTGCAAATCTGCTGTATTTCTCAATGGGAAAACTTGTGTTAACGTGCTTTAGCAATATCGTTGAAGATGTTTTATGTCAGTTTGACACTTCTAAAGCATAAAAACACCATAACATCATGTGTGCAGATACTTTAGGAACATGCTAAATGAACATTCTTATTTATCTAAAAAACAATGCTGAACTCAGATATTTTGGGCCTTCCGTGCTGGAACGGCTGTCTTTGTTTTGGTCATTTAATCCGCCCAACACCAGTATAGCCAATTATATTTCAGCACCCCGGGTTGCCAGATGGTGGAAAACAGCGTATTTCATTTATTGAGTCAAGAAGGCTCTCAAAGAAGTGCCTATGACCAAAATGCATCCCCTGATGGACAGGAACAGACTCTGAAATGAGATGCAGATTCAGAGTTCCACATGAGGTTATTAATTAGCAAATAATATCAATATTACGAGAGCAAACATTAGGTAAGCAGGTCACATTGTAATACTGTGTCCCAACTACACACTATGCGAGCAGATTTGCAGTGATCAGCAGTTTGGCTGTGTGCACCAGACGAAACAGGACAGAAATGTAAACACAGCCATTCAGAAGCACAGAATATGCACTCACTGCATTCTGTGGGAATATTAATGTAAATAATCTAGTTCCAATTTAACAAAAATCTATATATAACTAAAAAGTTTTAATCTTTGTTTTTTATTTAGCTCATTTAATTCAAAACTTTAGCTAGGGTGTGACAAACATTAAAAACCTCTTGGTTCCTGAACACTGACTGTGCCAAATGGCCCGTTTCCACTGAGTGGTACAGTACGGTACAGTATGATTTTATGGCCATTTCCACTGTCAAAAGACGTACTAAACTGAACCGTACCACTTTTTGCGAAGGGTACCAAAATGCAGAGCTAGACGCGCAGCTGAATGCTATTGGTTTACAGAGAAACGTCATTCGCTCTCGCACCAAGCCAGAATGAAAACAAAGGGACCGCAGCCGAGACATTACACCGTAACAATATACACATATAATAAAGAGCCATGATCGACCCAAACTCAAACAATCCTTGTCGTCGTCTTGATGAACAGCTACAAAGCCAATAACAAAATCTGCAATGTCCTGTTGTTGTTTTACGAGCCCGTCTAAAGAGCGAGCGGTTTCACTTTGTCCCGAGAGCTTGCGATCGCGTCTATATTTGAAACAACAAACTTTTTGAGCTCAAATTAATAACGTGCTTGTGATTATTGAAGCGCTCCAATATGCGATCCTGCCAGAAAGGAACAAACGCGAGAGAAGCACGAAAAAAAACAAAGGAGAAGCCGGTAAAAACAGCAGTAAATGATGCGTCTGCAACCTAAAACATGAACACACAGCCATGTGTAACTATTATCATCACCTTCTGGACTATTCTGATGGAGTTACTTTCTAACAGAGGCTACACGTGCTGCTGAACAGATGAGAGGTCTGCTCTGACTGGGGGCTACATTTCCTGTTGTTTTTGAACCCAAATAAGGACTAAATGTCTGCTGTGTGTAGCTTTACTGTAATTGGTAACATATCGGGAACTGTAAGGGTTTTATATAATCACAGACATTACAGTAGGATGTTTGGCATTGATCTACAGTTATCATCAAATTATGTTGATATAAAGGTTAGTAATGAACATGTATACAGTATTCATGTTTATACAACAGTTCTGTCTGGATCTCGAATCTGATTGGCTGATAGCCATGATATATTTAAGTACTATCAGCATCCGCACAGCCTCTTTACCCTTTGTGTATTACTCCGCCCACATACAGCCAACAACAAGCAGACACTACAGTTTGACAAATATAACTGCTGATAGACAACAAAATATACTTTTGAGGCTTTTGTAGTGGAGAATGTAGTTGTTTAGATTGCATCTATGCAGTTTATTTGCAAGAATAGTGCCTATTTTTAAATATTTACAATTTCTGAGAGACAGCTTGTCAGCGACAGTTGATGTTTTCTATCCACAAGATGGCGACAGAACCGCACAATAAGCCCTTACGCTTAAAAGATATCATATAACAGTCTGATTTCTAACTACAGCAGATTAAATCATTATTAAACTGGTAAGCACACCAGCCAACACTTGCTTTTTTCATGGGAGTATCCCGTATTTCAGACCAGTCTCCCGCAACCATCCCGTTTTTATTTCTTCCCTGAAAATACTCCTGTAATTTCACCCACCCCCCTCTTTGGTACAGTCTGTAAACTAAACACCCCCTGGTTGCCAACTTTGGTACAGTAACCGATCGAAGCGGCCGTCCAAAACCCACTGCATCCTGTTCTCAACCTCACCCCCGAACACCCTCTCCCCCCAGGTCTACCGGGTTTTCAGAGACATGTTGGCAGGCTAGATGATCTCTCTCTTTTGTTTGTTGTAGTGCTGCATTTATACTGATTTGCTCCATATCAGGAATGTGTGTTGAGTTGGCAGATTGAAATAAGCAAGGTCTGCATGTGTTTAGCGTTTTTTTCTGATCGCAACCACAACAGCAGTCTGGTAACGTTAGTAGTCTCGTTGTAATGTCGTGGGTAATGATTGAGAAATCCCGATTCCAACAGAGAAATACTGTAGACTGTAACACTGTAAGAAGATATCTCTGTAGACTGATGGCATTTCATGTCACGTTCAGCCTTATAATCTTAAAGTGTGAGCAAAATCAGCAGTTTTGTCATCGCTTTATCATTCAAACACTAGCTCTACAGTGACGTTGGGGAATTAATAACGGCTTCTGCTGTTCTGTCGTCAGCTGCAGATGTGAATGAATGGCGGAAGAAAGTAGTTCCTAATAAAAAAGGGTTTAGACTCTCCGTGTTTGATTTTCTTATTTATATACAGGATTGTGCTGTTGAACTGTTGTACAAACGCAATATCACATGAGTAGCAGTGCGATATGGCTGTATATCGGCACTGGTCGGACGCTAAGACACTCGGCCTACGGTCTCGTGCCAACGCACGCCTCCCATCAGTGCTGATATACAGCCATATCGCACTGCTGCTCGTGTGATATTGCTCATAGGTAAAGCATCTGTGTTGTGAGAAGTGCTTCTCATATGATTTGTGAATGACCAGTACAGCTTTACTGTAGCATTTCCTCGAACGAAAATGATGTCGTCTGAAACTTTCTGTCCTACACCACACACAGAGTACCAATGGTACCTTTTAGCAGTGGAAACACAAGCCTGATAAAGGTGAGCCGTACTGACCCGTACCGTACTGTACCACTCAGTGGAAATGAGCCAAAAGTGATGCGAATGCTAAAGGCATGGTCTCAGTGACTCTTCCTTTGTCATTGTAAGATACTAACAGGCCAAAGAAACACTTTTGTTAATAAACTTGATGAGGTCAGGGCTGGGCAAATGTTAACCTTGCTGACCCCAATACTTCATTTGATCACTGCATGCTACTGTTTATGTTGATGAGATAAGGGCTGGGGTAACCCACGCCAACATGCAAAACTCCACACAGAAACGCCAACTGACCCAGCTGAGACCTTGCTGTGAGGCCACAGTGCTAACCACTGAGCGACCACTCCGCCCCTTATTACATATATGTACACTAAGGATGCCACGGTTCTCAATATAATATTGACCTTTCGGTACGACCTCCACGGTTCAATACGCGCTTGTGAATTGTGTTATTCTCGATTTTGCATTTCAATAATTTATGTGCGTTTCATATCTCCCCGAATTGACTGTGTGTGATTGTAAATCCATGAGCTGAGATGAGGAAACTCCTCCCCGTGAGTAAATATCCCATCACTGTGCTCTAAAGTTAGGGGGCACTTGACCATCACTCCACACTTTAACATGGCGAGCGGCGGTGAAGTGAGGCAACAGTACGAGAAAGCGTCAGCGTCTTCAAATCTGCGGTGTGAGGACATTTCGGTTTTGCCGGTGAGTATAATGCCAATAAAAGAAAAAACGGTGAACAAAAAAGCATTGATTTACACGTATAACCATGACTGCACATCTGCAGCGCATCACTCAGCAATATCCCTGTCTGAAGCAGGACAGCAGAGAAGCTAATACAGTCCTCCAAACAGCAACAATCCCTCACTGAACCTTCCAGCAAACAAACCCAACTGGCTCTGAGAGACACATTAAATAACAGAGGCAGTGCGGGTGATTACTGCTGAAGATTTGCAGCTGTTTTCGCTGATTGGAGTACAATGTATATACTGTAAATTTTCTTTTTCTTAACCTCTACTATTTTTTATATATTTTTTATATTAATGTTAAGCACCTTGGGTCTGAGAGTAACGCAATTTCGATTCTCTATATGTCTTGTACATGTGGCTGAATTGACAATAAAGCTGACTTTGACTTTGGAGATGTGGGCTTCTGTCATCTTATAAAAGCACTCGATCTGCGTTACAGACTAAAGTCAGGCATTTTCCAGCACCGAGATAATGAAGATGTTTATTTATGTTTACTGAAGGACAAATATGTTTATTTGAAATGGCCAATTCATCTTTAATAACTTCATACGTGTGTTTATTCTCAAAGTGCAGGATTTCATGTGTTCATCAGTTTGTACATGGGCTACCAGCAGCTGACAGAGTTCAGTGTTAATGTTTTTAATACAATACACTAGGCACTACTGTACCTTTATTGGCTTTTAAGTCAAACAAAATGAGTGTTGCCATAAATCGGTTTTATTTTTTTCCTTACTGTTCCTATTGCCTATAGAATAATAAAAAACACACGTGTCAACA